CCTCCCGACGACGTCCAACACTAACAAGACTTTCAAATAAACACAAACCTTGATTTCCAAGTCGTAATCTCTTATTTTTTCAAAGTCCAAACTCTTTGCCACTTGTAGCCTGCCCGTGTCTTCTTCTATGCGGAATTGCCTGTCTTCGTTCCCCTTTTCAATACTAAACTTCAGCTTTGCATTGCTGCCAATATCCCCGTCTGTGGCCATTAGGGTCAGGATTGTATAGCCCAAGTCTGCAGACTCAGAGACGTTGCCCTCGAATTTGCGCTGAACAAACTTTGGTTTTTGATCGTTGGTGTCATCAACTTTGATCGTCACATTGATCTAAAGAAATTATTGAAAATTATTTTTTTTAAATCTGTTATGAATTTCGCGTTCTTATTGGTTGGGAGCGCGTGTATTATGAGAGCACACAGCATGTGCAAGCTCTCTCTACTTTATCATTCGAATTCAAAATAACGATTACTCTCATTCGTATTTTATAAAAGAAAAAAAAATTGCTTGCAGAACCGGAACACTCGAGAAGTGATGAGAAGCACGACGAACACTTCTCTTGTGTTCTGGCAATCCCCGCGTGCTTTATAACTATACACAGCACGCGCGCTTTATCTATTTCTTCAATAATAATTTATCATATGTAATAAATACTCCTCGAAGAGGAGCGGTACGAGTGGAACAGGTGGGATAGCATAGGAAATAATGGGATAGGATGAATGGAATGGATCAGTGGATAAATGGAATGGGTGTGATGCTCAAGATTGATGCTAAAATATTGGATAAATGGAGTGAAGTAGAGGAATGGATCGATCGATTGATATGTCGATGGGATGGATTATTTATAGGATAGATAGAATGAATGCATGGATGGATATGATGGGTTCAGTGGACGGATGAGATGAAATGGAATGCATGTACGGACCTTGACGAGACAATGAATCGGTTAGTTTATATAACAAGACACAATAACACAGGGTCCCCAGATCCCCAGGCAGTATCAAGACACTCACCATTCCCTCTTGAGGCGGATGACCTTTGTCTGTAGCACCAACTTGAACAACATAAGTATCCCTACTCTCTCGGTCGAGCACCCGATTCGTACGAATCAAACCCGAGTCTCTATCGATCGAAAACACTCCATTTGCGTCATAGATTAATTCATACGTCATCGCAGCGTTGCCATTTTCATTAGGATCATCGGCATCAACCGCTGACATCACCATAACACTGGCGCCCGCTTTCATATTCTCTTCCACGTGACCTATATAATGATTCGGAAACTGAGGGGCGTTGTCGTTGATGTCACGAACGATAACAGTGACGTCAGTCGATCCAGTCCTCCGTGATGACATTCCTGGCGCGTCCACAGCAAAAGCCAGGAAGTCGTACCTGGCTTTTTTCTCTCTATCCAACCTCTTCCTGGTCGATATAACTCCTGTGTTCGGATCGATTTGGAAGCTCCCCAAACTTTGACCGCTGATTGAGAACGTGAATTTGCCCCCCGGTCCTTCATCTGGATCGGTGGCTCTCAGTGTCATGACGGACGTCCCTTCAGGTTCGTCTTCAAATATCACAGCCTGGTACGCTTGTTTTTCGAAATTCGGGTTATTATCATTGACGTTCTTTATTTTCACGTTGACTGTCGATCGACCCGAGTTCTTCCCGTCCCTTGCGGTGATCTCAAGCTTATAGACGTCCCTCGTCTCTCTGTCTAATGACCTTGCCACCGTGATTTTCCCAAAGTCTCTGTTAATTGCAAACACTGCATCTGTGTTTCCGTCTGTTATCTGATAACTGACTCTCGCGTTGATCCCTAGATCTTTATCAGAGGCAGAGACCTTCAGGACGTTAGAACCGATCGACGCGTCTTCAAATATTGAGATGTTATAGACTTGCTGTTCGAAGACAGGCGGGTTATCATTCTCGTCTTTTATTATCACTTCTACAATAGTCGTGCTCATCTTTATTGGTTTTCCGTGGTCTTCAGCTATCACCACTAGTGCATAACGGCCTCTTTGCTCTCGATCAAACACTTGTTTGGTCTTAATCACACCAGTGTGTTGGTCCACCGAGAAATACTTAATGCTATCCTCCTGGACAAATTTATACGTAACTCGCCCATTGTCTCCTTTGTCTAAGTCCACTGCATGCACTTGAATAACCGACGTTCCTATTGGTTCATTTTCGGCCACGTGACCTTGGTATCTTGGCATTCGAAACTCTGGTGGTGAGTCGTTGACATCTTCGATGTGGATTTTCAACGTCGCAAAATTTATCCCCGGTGGATTGGAGCCGGTTTCTGCTCGTATAGTCAGAGAGAAGTTTGCTGTTTCTTCGTAATCGAGCAGATGTGATGTCTGTACTTCACCGGTGATCGAGCCGATTTGAAATCTTTTAGGATTATTTGTAGATGGTAAATTCCCAGGAACGATGCTATAGTAGATATTTTGGTTATTGTTGGCCTCAGCTGTGACTTTAATAACGCTAAAACTCGTAGGAACATCCTCTCGCACACGCGCAGTGTAAACGTCTTTAGTAAACTTAGGTGGGGCGTTCCCGTCTCCGAATACCGTGATCGTCACATCTACGTGGGATTTCATCTGGGGTATTCCGTTATCACGCGCGATCACGCGAAGCGGGAAATTCTTTGTGACTCCAGTTAGCTTTCCCTTGGTTGTTATCGTTCCAGTGGCGTTGTCGATAGCGAAAAGCTCACTTGGATTTTTGAATGAATAACTGATCAAAGCATTGGTGCCGGCGTCCTTATCACTTGCGCTCACATGGAGAACCGACCGGCCGATATCGAAGTCTTCACCGATGGTCGCTTCGTAGTGTTTGTTCTGGAATACAGGAGGATGGTCGTTCTTATCAGTTATTCTTACATCCAACTGACAAAATCCCATCAGTCTTTCAGCGTCTTCTCTATCGGGTCCCCCATCACGACCAATGATATGCAATTGATACTGACTCTTGACTTCACGATCAAACTTTTGTCGTGTCCTCACTACTCCAGTCTTGCTATCGATATCAAAATACCGAGGCGAGTTTTTAGATCGTTCAATAGAATATTCGATCTCACCGTTGATACCGGTGTCTTTGTCTTCAGCCACGACTTGCAGGACGAAGGTGCGAGGTGGAGCATGTTCTGGAACGGTTGGTTTGTAAGACTTGCAGGCTGTGAAGACTGGCTTGTGGTTGTTAACATCCTCGATAGCTACGACTAACATTGCCTGAAAGAGAGCCAATCGTAACCATTGAACAATATTTATATCATAGTAAGTACTTATAGAGACATTTGGCATGGGCGTAGTCGTTCCCATTCCGGACCACGTGTCATTCCCTAAAGTATCATTTCTTTATTTAACGGTTCCGCATGAGAGGACGCATAAATATAGAACATCAAGAGAATGCAACAGTCTAAAATGGGAAAATATTACGCCCAAGGTGAATTGGGAATACCTATAGGATATTATACGTCGGCCGGCTTGAAGATATGAAACTTATCTTTGAGTGAGGGAAATATCATTTCAAGAATAAGCGCAATAAACGAGTGAAATATTTTTCAACACGAGAAGATAAACTCCATATCTTCAAGCCAACGTGCAATTTTCTTTTCATTATACAGAAACATTCACGAACAAAAACGTGTTGAAAACATTGGAAAAGACTTCATCGATATCTTCACTAGAGAGGATATGGAAAATATGTCACTGAGGTCCCGGATGTTGTTATTATAAAAAATACACGTGACATATTTCCCAGTAAAACACAACTGCCTATATAATAATTAAAATTATAAAATAACTGTTATGAATGTCGCATTCTGATTGGTTTGGAGCGCGTGCTTTATGAGAGCACATTGCACGCGCGCGCACTTTCCGTTGCGCCATTCCTATCTATTATTGTAATTTGTATTTTATAAAAGAAATAAAAAACTTGCTTGCTGTGCTGTGTGCAGTCATAAAGCACTTGGGGATTGGCAGAACACTTGAGAAGTGTCGAGAAGCGCTACGCGTCGTRCTTCTCCTAACACTTCTCTCGTGTTCTGCCAACCCCCGCGTGCTTTATGACAGCACACAGCACGCGCGCGCTTTTTCTATTTCTTCAATACCGCACGGTACAACGATGCCTTACCTGCGACACATGCATTCCATCAGTAGCGCTGATATTCAGGACATAGAAAGGACCTCTTAGCTCTGGCTTCCTATTCTTGATAAGTCGCAACACGCCTGTCTTGCTGTCAATCACGAAGTTCGTTGTGTTGTCACCTGACACTATACTGTATGTGACGTCATCGAGGTCTTTATCCGTTGCGTGAACTGTGGTGAAAATCACAATAATATTTTCAGTGGTCTCAGTAGTAGATATAGGAGAAGCTATTAATTAGCATACGCCGTTTTCACTAGAGTGAAGTCACAAAACCCGTGCAATAGATATTACGCTAATACACTTTAGTAGATCCTAATTTCATTGCTTCCTTTTGTGTCTATTTGACTATTACTACGTTGACTGACATTTTTATTTCACGGTTTAAATGTCTTCATTCTAAAGGGTACAAAATAGTGGAATGTCTATTGCTTTCTATTGTTTCATCAATGCGCAAAAGCGTTGCGACACAAGTTACAAGAATGTTCACACGGCGCAACGGACATGATAGATACCTAAAGTCGAAAAAATCTACTTTTCGCAATGATTGCTTCTAATTGTCTCGCAACATGTTTTCAAATTGTTCTATAGGTTACACGCTGCAATGCTCCATGCAACTTGTGTCGCAACGCCGTTGAGAGGAAAGCTGAAGAGAAAACTCCGTGTAATTGCGCCTTTAGAGCGAGCAGTTGTGTCAACTGATTACCAAAAATAATAAGAGTACGTTAATATTAGAAAGCAACTGGAGTTTCAGTTCATAATGTCGACTATAGAAGAAAAGGTAAGGAATGTAAAACGCGCGCGCATATCTCTGTACTGTGATATAAACACGCTGGGAGCTGTAGAGCACGAGAGAAGCAAGCTTAGGAACACGAGGCGTAGCCGAGTGTCTCTGTCGCTTTTCGAGTGCTCTACAGCTCCCAAAGTGTTTATATCTTAGTACAGAGACATAAGCAGCCGTTTCATGTTACTTTTATAAAATATTTTTGAATAATTTAGCGCAAGCGTGTCTGTACTCTGATATAAACACGATAGACAGCCAATAAGCGCGCGCGTTATATTTAAAATATTTTATGATATTTAATATAATACTGAATTCTTTGGCGTTCGTCTTTGCTAAATCTATTTTTACCTGTTGCAACCACTTGATCAGCCCCAGCATTCTCAGCGATAAACACGTTGTACAGGTTCTGAGAGAATACCGGTTTATTGTCATTAACGTTGGTTAACTGCACAACCACTCGCGCTGTCCCGTTCAGAAACGGAGACCCGTAGTCCTGTGCCCATACGAGGAATGCATGACGAGGCATGGTTTCGTAGTCCAGTGGTTCTTTTGTGACAATCCACCCGGTATACGGGTCTACCGCAAAGTACCTACTCTGCGCAATGTATCTAAACTGTCCATTGATGCCGGAGTCCCGGTCCGTGGCGGTTACTGCCAGTACTGTCGTACCTACCGGGGCGCTCTCGGGTAACGAATCAACATACCGCTGCTGTACGAACTCCGGTGGGTTATCGTTAAGGTCGTGGAGGAGAATTTTGATGTTGACATCACTATATAGTCTTTGTGATAGTTGGGTCTCCTCGGCTCTTACTTTGATGTAGTAAACATTTGAATCTCTCTCGTAGTCCAGTGGGTTTGGAAGTGCTAAGAGTCCAGTGTTGGAATCCAATACAAACTTGCCATTATCATTACCTGATGAAAACAATGAGTGAATAGAGGCTTTGCACCATCACGTGATGGCAGCCATGACAGGAGGCAAAGCAATAGTATTTTTTCCTGGGAAATTGAATTTATTATCATGTAAATTAAACTAGTCCAGTTTTAATTCTCCTTACCTCCTGCCATTTCTGCCATCGCGTGATGGTGGAAAGGCCTCTACCGTCAAACCGCTCTAATGTGGACAGAGCCCAGCGATCGTATTAGTGAGAGTCCGTATTATACAGGTCTGATTATAATCGTATACGTGAAGCGACTAAATGAAGTTTTACGTAAAAAAGCTCTTATTTAATTATGGAAGTATTACGAGAGGTTCGACGAGAAGATACGAATAAAAAAGATATATATATAAATTGAAAAGAAGCATCAAGGAAAGGGAAAAAACTTGTTAACGCTATTGACCACCGCAAGTACAGCAGTGGCGCAGCTCAAGGGGGTCGAACTAAAAGCAATGTAAAGGAAGGAAGGAAAGAGGAGAAAAATGCGTGTGAGAGAGAAATGAGTAATATGTAAAAAAAGGAAGAAAATGACTAAAGCAGAGATAAAAAAAAGAAAGAGGAAAAGTAAAAAATAAAATAAAAAAGAAGAAAAATTAGGTTAAATGAGCAAAGAAACGAAAGGAAGAAAGGTAGACAATAAAATACCAATATTTCCTAACCACATACCTTGTACAATAGAGTACCACACCTTCACACCAGTAAAGCTTCTTGCCATCACTGAACCAACAGCCATCCCTCGCTTCGTATTCTCATTCACGTTAAACACATATTCCTTCTTGTCGAACATCGGTGGAAACCCACCCACTTGTACATTAACAGTCGCGTAACTAGCGAGTGAAGGTTGACCCAAATCATACGCGGCGACAGTCAAATTATACCACGGTAGCATCAACAGGTTTCGGCCCTTAGTTTTGATGATTCCCGTCATAGGATCGACTTGGAAGAAAATGTCTCGATCTTTGATCATACGATATCTGACCTCTCCATTGGATCCAGTATCCTTGTCCTTGGCGCTAAGCTGGTACACGAGTGTGTCAGGGCCTGCGTTCAGGTTTATACGGGCATAGTACAGCCCTCTTGTTTTTTTCATAGTGAACTCTGGTTTGTTATCGTTAGCATCCAATACCCTTACACTGACATCAATATTGGTATAGTCTTTCCTGTTCTCGGAGTTCTGCACCTGCGCGATAAAGCGATGAACTTTTCTCGTCTCGAAATCGAGAGATTTCTTAACTGTCACAGTGCCTGACGTTAGGTCGATTTGAAAGAACGTTTCAAGTGGTGACTGGATAGAATATTGCGCATTCTTGATAGGATAAGAGGGACTTAGTATGGTAACTTGTGAGCCAATTGAAGCGCTCTCGAGAACAGTTGCTCTGTGCTCTCCTTGGTTTAGTTGGTACTTCAACAGCACCAGTCTCGCTACCGCAAACGCCGTATGTACGGGTTCTCCACCATCTCGTACACTAACCTTGAAAACAACGGGTGTCTCCAGATCTGTCAAAACCTTTTTAGTCTTTAGTCCACCCTTAGATGTTATTTCAAAATAGCGCGCAGCTATTGGATCACTAGTACCGTACCTCAACGCGTCCATTTTATCCGCGTCTGTTGCTTCCATCGACATTACAGGACTTCCGATCGACAAATCCATTAATGCGCTTCCTTCGATTATATCATTTTTATCCATGTTCAAAAATTTAGGTCCATTGTCGTTGACATTGATCACATTGATAATAACCTTAACCCTGCTCATCCGGTTAGTCAGGTCTGTCGCCATGACAACAAGAGTATACTTAGAGCGCTCTTCGTGGTCTAGTGACGTAACTGTTGTCAGCCAGCCAGTTCCCGGATGTAGGTCGAACTTGTCGTCCTCGTTTCCGGACATGACTGAGTACATTACTGGGTCGAAGCTTGCTGCTTGGACTTGAAGGATAGACCTTCCTCCAGGAACGTTTTCTTTTACGCTACCGATGAAAGGAGATGAGAGAAACCGTGGAGGACCACGCAAGGGGTGAACCACGAAGTTGACATCTGCGCTAGAGTATTTGGCGGGAAAACCAGAGTCACGTGCTTGAATCTGAAGCAACAATGAAGATATTAGAAAAATACTCAAACTTACAATGGGAAAGCCGGCCCTCCTTCCTGTCGGAATGAATTCAAATACAAAAGAAATGCCACAAATTCCATCGAAAAAAAGTTTGATTTCTTTTGTATTTCCATGTTAGACTTGTATCCACAATACTTTTGAGAAGGGTCCGTCGAACCCTTAAACGAGTACTTGGCTGATCTTAGTCAGGGCGTGGCTAACAAACAGATCAAATTACGATTTCCATTTTGATTAGCTAGATCTTGCGGACCTATCGGTGAACCTAGAGAACATCAATTGAATCAAGGGAGAGACCATAAACTCTGGTCATATCTGGGCCTGGTTGTACGAAGGGTGGTTAGCGCCATCCGACGGATATATCTTATCCAGTGGATAAGTTATTAGGATAACATCATCGAACCAGAGATCCCAGAGGTGAGGGGCGAGTGCATTGTCCCCTTAAAATAGAGGGCTGCAAAGAAGATTGTATTTCCTAGATATACGTACCTTCATGTTGACATTCTCTAATTCTGACAGTGGCTTATCCAGGAATATCATTCCATCATTAGGTCTAACACTGAAGTATCGTCCAGCATTTCCTGAATCGATGCTGTATGTGACTGCACCATTCCCGTCTCTATCATAATCGTAAGCAACAGCTTTAAACACAGGCATGCGCACTCGATGATTCATTGGGATGTTCAGGCTGTACGACTGAGACGAAAACCTCGGCGAGTGGTCGTTAACATCCTGTACAACTACGACAACTCGCGTTAATACAGATAGCTTAGGTTTACCAGCATCTTCGGCTTTAACCGTTAGAACATGTTGATCGATATCTTCTCGGTCCAGCGTCGTAGTTGTTCGTAAAACACCCGTATTTAAATCAATAGCGAATCGTCGATCGGAGTTGTTGTTTTCGTAATTAACGATAGAATAAATGAGCCTCGCGTTTTCTCCGCTGTCCGGGTCACGTGCTGATAAAGTTCCAATCACGAGACCTCCGTCTAAATTTTCCTTTACAACTATCTTATATACAGGTTTGTCAAAAGTTGGAGGGTTGTCGTTTACATCTTCTATTGTAAACTTCAACGTAGGTCCAACTATTTTGGCTTTGTTTTCCTTCACCGCAATCTTTAGTTTATAGCTAGCAGTACTCTCGCGGTCCAATTTCTTCCGTAGACGAACCTCGCCAGTAACGTCTATACAAAAAGCATCAAGGTGGTTGCCATGGGTGATGGAATATTTAAGGTTGTCGTGACCGCTATACTTTTGCGTGACCTTTAACAAAAACATTCCGACGGGGGTTTCCTCAGAGATCGCCATAGCGTAGGACGTTTTTGGGAATTCAACCGGTGGTCTGACGTCTTTGACATTTACGACGACATTCGCTCTTCCCTTGTTGAATGGTGATGTCGAATCGGTTGCCGTGACTACGAATGAGTACGATGCTTGTTCAGCGTACTTAAGTATCTTAGTCGTGGTGATTACCCCAGTTTTGGGGTCGATGATGAAGGGCGACGAAGCGGCATTTTCAATAGCGTACTTGACAATCGCATTGCTGTCAGAATCACGGTCATAGGCGGTTAGTTTCTTGACTGTTGTGTTCACCGGGAGAAACTGATCGACGAAGATGACCAGAGGATCTTGGGGGATTGCAAAACGAGGAGTATTATCATTGACGTCCATCACATTGATGATAACTGTGGTCTAACAAAAATTAGAAAAAAATTAGAAAAACTGAATAAACTTATAAACTTAAATTCATACTTTTATTTCACAACCACTAACGCGCCAGTTTGATTTTTATGGAGGGAGGAAAACCGGAGAACCCGGCGAAAAACCCTCGTGGCAAGGGAGTGAACAACACATCAAACAAACTCAACTCACATGTGTGGCTCAGCCGAGAATCGAACCCGCGACCCCAAGCGTGAGCTACACAACGGTGAGATACCACTTGTCCATACGCACTTGGTACTTCGGTCGGAAACTTGATTTCGGTTCGGCCACAATTTTATTCCAAATGATTTTGTGTTTTCTACAAATAACAATAAATATTTAAAGTCTAATCGTAATACCTCAGCTGGTAATTCAGGCATGCTAGCAGACCATCCTTGCTGCACGGCTCGTACTATCAACTTGTACTTCTTCTGTCTTTCATAATCCAGTGACTGTCTAAGACTCAACCACCCAGTGTCAGTGTCAATCCTGAATTGATTTCTCCTATCCCCACCCACTAGGTAGTAACTCAGCTTCATTCCAGACCCCGCGTTATTCTTTGCCTCGACTTTCAGGACATCTGCCACGACATTCAAGTCCTCCGACACATTTTTTTGGTAAACAAGTTGACGAAACTTCGGAGGAGAATCAGAGACGCTGTGAACGGAAACAGAAACTTTGACCACCGAAGATTTCCGAGGTTTGCCGTTGTCATAGGCCGTGACTGCAAAGCTGTATTTTCTGTTTCGTTCAGCACGCTGAGCGAGCTTGATTGTGCCATCACTAGGATGAATTGAGAAGATATCACTAGAAGATTGGTATGTCGTCGCAGCATTAGATCCTGAGTCCAAGTCTGTGGTAGTTATTTGCATAACCATGGTCCCGATAGCTGTGTCTTCGGGAAGCGGGATCGAGTAAGATGACTTAGGGAATGTGGGATAGTGGTTGTTGCCGTCATGCACGCGGACGACGACGTTGGCTGTCGTGGTGCGTTTGTGTGGAGAGTCAGCTTGGTCGGTAGCGCGAACCTATCAAGATAACAAATACATAGACAATCAACTATGAAATACTTCACACCTATAACCTTAACACTTACATTTCCTAAACAACTCAACAACCGACATCCGACATTCGACTCTCCACAGTCAACATTCAACACTTGACACTCAACAACCTACACTCGATACCCGACACTCAACACCCGACACTCAACA